CAGCCTTTATTAGTTCTCTCAGCACCGTGACAGACTTTACCAAATCTCCCCAGCCCTCTGTCAGCCCTCACCACCCCTGACCAGTCCCCCGCCAGCCTATAGTAACCCTTACCTGTCCCTCTCAGCTCTCCCCAGTCCTCTACCAACCCTCACCAATCCCTTGTCATCCTGTACCAGCCCTCATCAGCCTCCTGTCAGCCCTTACCAGTCTCTTGTCAACCTGTACTAGCCCTCACCAATCCCCGTCCATCTGTACAAGCCCTCACCAGTCCCTTGTCAACTTGTACCAGCCCTCACCATTTCCGTTAATCTGTATCAGCCCTCATCAGTCCCTTGTCAACCTGTACCAGCCCTCACCAGTTCCTTGTCAGCCCTCATCAGTCCCCTAGTAGCCCTCACTAGCTCCCTCCCAGCCCTCATGTGTTCCCTGTCAACCCTCTCTTGCCCCTTGCCCTTTGCAAGTCCTTACCTGCTCCCTATCAGCCCTCACCTGCCCCCTGCCCCCTGCCAGCCCTCACTTGCCCCCTGCCAGCCCTCACCTGCCCCCTGCCAGCCCTCATCAGTCCCCTGTCAGCCCTCACCTGCCCCCTGCTAGCCCTCACCTGCCCCCTGCCAGCCCTCAAATATTCTCTGTCAGCCCTCATCTGCCCTTTGCAAGCCTTTACCTGCCCCTGTCAGTCCTCACCTGCCCCCTGCCAGCCCTCACATATTCTCTGTCAGCTCTCACCTGGCCCCTGCCAGCCCTCATCAGTCCCCTACCAGCCCTCACCTGCTCCCTGCCAGCCTTTACGTTTTCCCAGGCAGCCCTCACCGGCCCTCATCAGTTTCCCCAACAGCTATCACTAGTCCCTGCAAGCCCTCATTCACCTCTTTCTAGCCCCTGCTAGGCATCGGTCTTTGATCACACTGTCTCTTGAATGTCTTATGTCCCTAGGAGGCTGGTGGTGTGGTCCCCTCTTGGACAACACACAGAAAAACAAGAAATTTCCTTTATGAGCAGGCAGGAGTGTGGCCAGTGGGTGGATCAATCCAGAACTGGGCCTGTAGTGTTTCCCTGTCAGCTGACCAAGCAGTAGATGTTGCCCCACAGTCCACTTACTTAGAGCAGCTTGAGCACTGGGAGAGCTCTGGTGGTGTAGTTCACAGAGAGTTATGTTACTAACCCAAAGATCTCTGGCTTTTCGAATCCACTAGTAGATCTTCAGTAGAAAGATTGACAACCTCCCATAGAATGTATAGCCCCTTGGAGGGTCAGCTATGAGTGGGTTCCAACTTGTTGGCAATAAGGTGTTGTGGAATTTGTTTTTAACTTGAGCACCAGCTGTTTACCTGGAGACAGAAGGAATCTTATTCCCGATGCCTGCTCAGCCAGGCTGGAGGCTCTGCCTTCTTTAGGTAAATCCAGAAAAGACCTGGTCTCCTTAGAGGCAAAGATGGTGAAACTTTGTCTTACATACATTGGGCACGTTATCAGCAATCAGTCCTTGGAAAAAGATAACATGCTGGGTAAGGTAAAGTCAGTAAAAGGGAGGAAGACTCTCTACAACGGGTTGACACAGTAACTGCAACAACGAGTTTAAGCATAGGAGAGATTACAGGATGGTGCAGGGCTGGGCAAGGTTTCCTTCTGTTGTAGACAGGGTCTCAATTGCATCTACAAGCTAGCACTTACAGATGGTTCTAGCAGTGCTTACTATGTACCCAACTGTATCAATCTGTATACTTACATGCTTATACCAGTCTATATGTGATCACACACGAATTTTTGTCCTTATTGGCATTAAATATATCAAATTCTTTAGCATAAACATCCAATTCTCTTGAAAATTTCTCAGTGATAGAATGAACATTTATCATACTGTACTAACTACATGTACATTTAGTGCCACTTTCCAATTACCAAAAAGAACAAATATCTATGATGTAAATAATTTTCCCCTTCATCCCTACACAGCTCTGCCTGGTAACCACCAATGAACATGGAACTCTTTATATGTATCTAGTCCTCTTATAGAAAATGTATCATATGCTATTTTTTTCCAGAACTGTTGTAACAAGAGTTGATCATCATTGCCTAAGTTTGGAAGAGATTTAAAGGCAGCTGGGAAGTGGGAGAGCTTTATGTGTGCAATGTAGTGGGTCTGTTGCTATGGCTTTCTGTTCCTTATAATGGCTTTTCTAGACAATTGTTTAGCTAGCTGCCTCAACTCTGTCTGTCCTACAAGTACATTAATCTGATCCAGCTACCCTGTGGGCAGGTGGCCTGCCTACATGATCAACAGCTCCATGTGCCATGTCTTTTTCATAGGGTGTGTTAGTCTACCCATAAGGGGATCGGTTAGTCTCACCCATAAATTGAGCAGATTCAGTGGCAGAAATTGGGAGCTTCAACACCAGGAAGAAGTGTGAGAAGAAGCAAAAGGAGCAGCATGTGTCCTTCAGGGCCAGAGGTTCCTGCAACAGAGGTGTCCCGCTGTTGACTGAGGAGCTGCTGGACTGATGGAGAGACTGTATCTTGCCATTGGCTAAACAAGACAGAGATAGGACCAGAGCCCTTGGGATGGAGACAGACCTAAAGGTTTTGCTTGCTGAGCAATTGAAGGAAGAGCTGACTGGGGAGTGTTGCCTCACAGAACAAAGACAGAGATCTCACTGATATAAGCTGTGAGGCTGAAGGTCAAAGGGTCTGCAACCATACTTGAGAAGGTGTCAGGACTGAGGGAGTTTATCCTACTGCTATCCTAGATTATGGTCTATTAACTTCCCTAAGAAACCCTCATAATCACTCTTATACATTGTTGGTGGAATTGTTAAATGGTACAACCACCACTCTGGAAGGCAGTTTGGCGCTTCCTCAAAAAGCTGAACATAGAAATTTCATATGACTCAGCTATTCCACTGCTTGGGATATACCCATGAGAATGAGAACTGAGACACAAAGGGAGATTTGTACACCAATGTTTATAGCAGCATTATTCACCATCATAAGAACATGGAAACAACTCAGATGTCCAACCACAAACGAATGGATTGAGACATTATGGTACATTCACACAATGGAATACTATGCAGCACGCAGGAGCAATGATTTTTGTAAATTAGTACCTAACTTGAGAGGGACTAGAGAGCATTATGCTGCATGAACTAATTCAGTCCCACAAGGATAAATGTCGTATAAAAAACATTATTGTAGAATGAGTATAAGGATCCAAGGGGAGGGGGGAAGCAGAAGGGTGAGGATATGCGGGTGGCAGGGGATTAATTATGGGGGTTGTGCAATTTGATGGGTGAGGGGGTGAGGGAAATTGGAAGAATCTCATCTGAAAAACAGCACATTCGAGTTTTGTAAACGAACTGGTATAAATAAAAACCAAACCAAACCCTCATTATCAGGAGTATGGTTCTGTGTAGTCTATGCAGCGATTGCAATGGATATTGGCCTGGGAAAGAAGTTAACATCAGTGTTGAAATTAATCGATGCAGGAGTATGGGAGGACTATGTCTAACCTTACAGCAGTTAGTTTTGACGAGGACAGTTCCCCTTTCTGGAGTTAGTAGATGTCAGACTCAGCCATCTCCAAGCTGCTCTTGCTCTTTTTACAAGTGATAAAAGGAAGGTGTAGGGATGCCCTAATGAGATGGTGACACAGGAAGGCAGGGAGCTGGGAGTGTCCCATGTCATCAGGAGGGGAGCATGTTTGACTTTTCCCATCTGGTCCTGAATGAAAAACTAAGGCAAGGGACCACTGGTAAATTTTGGGGGAAGCTGGTAGTAAGTGACCCAGTCTTAACTGCTCTACGATGCTTGTTGTTGATTGCCATCAAGTCGAGCAAGGCTCATCGCGACCCTATGAACAAAAGGCCTGAAGCTCCTCTACAACTATCGACATTTATCAAAGTTCATAGTTTCCAGAGGCATGTTGTTCAGGAAGTGGATGCCACTCCTGCTTCCAAAGGATGCTTGCTGTAGAGACTGTGGTTTACCTTCCACAGCTGGTTGCTTCCTAAGTTCTAAATTTCTGTCCTGTTGTCATATCTGGCCCTCTGTTGCCTGTTTACACAGTCTCTTCCTTGAAAGCAACAGGTACTAGTAAGCATGTGTTATATTAATTAGGCTTACTTGGCAGGATTTGATTAATTACATAAATTTAAAAAAAACTATTGCTATGGGAAAGTCTGCATTAGAGACCTCTTCAGGGTACTGAAGAGCAATGGTGTCACTCTGGAGACTAAGGTGTGTCTGAAACAGGCTATGATCTTTGCAATCACTTGTTATGCATCAGAGAGTTGGACAATGACTAGGAAGGTTAGAAAGAGAATTGATGCCTTTGAGCTGTGTCTCTGGAGAAGAGTATTGAAGGTAACATGGACAGCTAAGAAAATAAACAGGTTTGACCTGGAGAGGGTTAAACCAGGCTGCTCATTGAAGGCAAGGATTCTGGGGCTTCGTCTGACATACTTTGGACATGTTGTAAGGAGGGACAGGTCCTTGGAGAGGGACGTCATGCTTGGGAGGGTGGAGGGACAGCGCAGGAGGGGAAGGCCCTCTACGAGGTGGATTGATTCAGTGACTGGGGTAATCGGGGAGGGAGGGGGGTGTCAGAGACAATGTGATTGGCACAGGACAGAGCAGAGTTTAGGGCTGTTGTACACAGGATCGCTATGAGTTGCAAGCAACTCGATGGCACATAACAACAACAACAACATACATGCACAGGGAGAATGTTGACTTTGTCTCATAAACCCAGTCTCATGCTCACTCCTTTATTTAGGCTTTTCTAGGAAAGCATAAAAGTGATGTCTTTCTGCCAGTCTCAGAAATCTTCATATTGAAGATCTAATTGAAGTGCAGAAACGTCAATAGATCTGTTCCAAGTATTTGACAGAGCAGAGTTCACCTACATTGGCAAAGGTGGGGTGGGGGCTAGGGTGGACCCAGGAAGTGGGGATTTTAACTAAACAATGGAAGGAGTGGCTCGCTTTAGGATTAGCCTTCTCCTGGATCTGGATCACCCCAAGCAGAACCCTGGAGAACATCAGAGCTGGTGCCGCCCTACCTGTAATTGGCCATAATTACTAGGTCGAGGCTCAGGCCAGAGGCATGTTCTGGGTGCTGGGTGGCTCATGATGGGTGGACTTGTATTCCCTGAGGATGGGTCTGCACCTGGTGATGCTTCAGCCCAAACCAGAGATGATAACATCCCTGGGTGGGGCTTTGTGTACGTAGGTCCCTGAGAGGTTCTTTGGAGGTGTTTTAAGGTACAGAGTTTTTACCTAGAGACCCCTCTCTCTAAGACTCTGATCAGGAGACAGATCTGTATACAGGGTTTTCTGGCACTCGATCCCTGAATCCCAGTGAGCATAGGGATTGTTGAGACCTCATCCGCCTCCCTCAACACACACCCCCCCTCAATCTGGGGTCTCTTCACAGCCATAGAGCTAGCTTCCTTCCACAGTAATGACTGTCTTGAAGTTTGATACACCAGAGAAAACAAATACAGTTACAGAAGTTATAAAATGGGTATTTGGTGGCATAATATTTCCAGGAAATAAGAGTCTTTTCAAAATCTATTATTTTCATTGCAGAAAATAATAAGAATAAGAATAAAAGAATAAGAATAAGAATAAGAATTTCATTTCCTTATAAAAATATTTAAAAAATTATGCTCTTTTCCTCACAACGCTTTCCTCCCCAAAGGTCATTCTACCCATATTCTTTATTTTGTATACTCTTGCATCCTGACATATGTGTCCCCAAGAAGCACACATCCCAGTCAGTCTCAGGCAGGAGGCCTCTGATCCAGTCCATTAGCCCTGAGGGAGCCAGGTCTGGGCACAGCTCTTCCAGTTCACATGGACCCATCTAGGTACTCCAGGCCATAACCAAGGGTGAAATGGTCAGCACAAACTTTGGACTCTTCTTGACCACTGCTGCTTTTCCAAAACCTGAGCTCAGGGGGCCACTGTGGGACAGGTCCAAAAAACCCACTCTTTCTTCTTCTTATTTGAGCTTACCTGAGGTCAGGCCATTCTATCAGTCACATTGATGATGATCTTGAACTATAACACATAGGTATTTCCTCATAAATTTCTAGAAGGAGAGGAAGGCAGGAGGCTCCATCAGCTCCAGAGCCTGTCCTGGTCTCTGTGGCTGTCTCACCTACCCCCACATACCAGCAGCATCCAGCCAGTGCTCCTTCCAAGGGCTGTTGCATACAGAGAGAGACTAGAAGAAGGTGTGTAACTGCTTGGGTGCCTGGAGGGAAGGGAAACATGCTCCCTCCAGCCCCTGGATGTTCGATGTGTGTGAGCTTTTCTTCCTTGTGGATTGTATGCGCCTTACAAACTCCTGTTGGGCTGCCATCTTCCTCTGCACTCAGTGGTTTGGTTGTTGATGCAAGGACAGCATCAATACCGAACATGCCTCTGTGGTCCAAATACACTTGCTGGGCTCACGTGGGAGCCAAATACAGAGATTAGGGAGCAGATGCTTCCTTGATGCCTGGTGCCTGACTTCCTCTCTGGAGATCATCAACTCCCTGTTCCCAGGGGCCATGGTGAGGCAGGCATGCAGTTTTTGCCAGCCCCTGCCATGCGGGAGGCTCCACACATGTGACTATTGTGACTATGTGGGGACACATGTGGCTCAGTGGATAGGCATGACCCGTCTGTGATTTCTCTAACACAGATCTACGCCCCTTGGACATCCTAGCAGAAGGAATCCCCTCTAGCGGTGCTGCAGTTGGAGTCAGGGTGATGCAGGCTCAGGGTGCACGAGGATTTCAGCTCTCAGCGGCTGCCCCCCACTCCATGAGCTTCCCTGCATCACGGATTTTCATCGGATGTGACCTCTTCCCTGAGGAATTTTCCATCGTGGTGACCTTGAAAGTGCCCAGTCTCCCACCCAAGGTCAGTGACATTTTCTATCTTTCCTGTTAAAACAACCTGATCTTCTTGGATGTTTCCAATGTCAGAGCACTACCAAGGGCTCAGCTGATGTGGGTTCTGGTGAGGTGCTGTGGTGGAGTCCCTAGGATGTCTCTGGGACTCTGGGTTACATGACTTAATGGGTGGTGAGGTCCACATTCTTGGGAGAAGGCAGGTTGAGTCTGAGTGACGATCTGCTAAGGGTTTGTCCTATAAGTTCTGCAATGACACTTCTGATGTGCCAAGCTGTCAAAGGCCTGTTACTTAGAGTTTTAAACTTAATAAATACCTTTTGGCAGGAAATAGAAACAATAGGATAGCAAATATTCTCTCTATGGGCCTGTTCCCTTGTGACTTTTACTCCCATTGGTTCTAAATCTAGCAAACTCACCCATTGCCTTTCCTCCTTAGTAATCTGAATGCTTCTGTGAAGGTGCACCAAAGGCATTTATCCTCATTCTCCCATGGTTCCTAGGACAATTCATATGATAGATGTCTTCGTTTCTAGGGTTGTAATTACAAAGTCCTACAAACTGGGTAACTTAAAACAACAGAAACGGATTACTGTCATTCTGAAGCCAGAAGTTCAAATTCAGGGTGTTGGTAGCACCATGCTGTCTCTGAAGGCTTTGGGGAGAATCTTTGCTCCTTGTTGCAGCTTCTGGTGGCTCCATGCACTCCTTGTCCATGATTGCATCACTCCACTCTCTGCCTCTGTCAACCTGTGGCCATCTTCCCCCTGTGTGTGTCTGAGTTCAAAGATAATTTCAAACTGGGTCATGGTCAAAGGTATAGACATTAGAACTTTAAGCTATCTTTTGGAGCATACCATTCAACCTCAATAATAAGTGTGCCTTTAATCTTTCTTAAACAAATCCAAATAAACATATTTTCAGCTCAGAATAATTGATTAAGAGGGAAAGCCCTTCTTCCCAGAATTGTGATGCCCTAGTTGATTTTCCCTATTGAGAGTGGTTCCATCCTCATGCTCCCTGTTGACTTCTTCCAGCTCACTAACACTTTCTCCTTTTATTCTAGCCACTCTAGTGTCAAACTCAATCACGAATTTTCAATTTTAACAATCTTATTTTCCAGTTCTAGAACTTCTTTGGTTTTCAAAAAATTAATTGCAGTTCTCAGATTGAATTCTTCATTTTCTCAGCAATCTCCTTAAATTTTACTATTATTTGGAACTATTCCATAGGAGCCCTGGTGATGTAGTGTTATGTGGTGCACTGCCAAAGGATGGTGGTTCAAATATGCCAGTGGCTCTGGGGAAACAGTTACACCTTCAGAAACATAATGGAGGGCCACCATGAATTAGAATAGACTCTATAGGAGTCCATTGCCATCCAGTCAGTTTTGACCCTCCCATAGAGCCACTGATAGATTCGAACCTCCAACTTTTAGTTTAGCAGCCCTGTAACTTACACATTAAGCCAACAGCTCTTGTAGACTTGTGGATAAGGAGTTCTATTGCCAACTCAAATGTAGGTAGATCAAATCTGCCAGCTACTCTGTGGGAGAAAGATAGGCAGTTTCCTCTTGTACCATTTACAGGTTCAGCTATGAGTCAGTTCTGACTTGTCTATACAAAACAGTAAGTAGAGCAGTGGTTTTGTTTGCTAATTTTGGTTACTTAAGTATATGGACAATTGCAATATGTTGTTGCTCTTATGTACCCTCACATCTACTACAACACATAGTGACCCTTTGAACAACAGACGGGAGACTATCCTATTTTCTATTATCATCACCATCTCTGTTAGACTTATGTGCACTGTTGCCGTCACTCTGTCAGTCAATCTCACTGAAAGCCTTCCTCTCTTTAGCTCTTCTTGACTTTCCACTTTTCCCAGCATGGCATCTGTTTCCAAGGACTGGTCCCTCATGACAACATGTCCAAGACCAATGAGATGAAGGTTGACCTCCTGTCTCTAGGTAGCATCTTGGTTGCACTTCCTCCAAGACAGATTTGTTTGTTCTTTCACCAGTCCATTGAATATTCAATACTCTTCATGAACCCAACTCAAAGGTATCTATTCTTTTATTTTCTTTGTTCATTGTTCAACTTTCAGATACTTAGGAAGGAATTGAAATTATCATAGTTTGAGTCAGTCACATGTTAGTCTTTAAACTGATATACTTTACCTTCAGCGCTTTGGAGAAGTTCTTGACAGCAGATTTCCCCAGTACAACTCATATCTTTTGACTTCTTGACTATTTGTTACCATGACTGTTGATCGTAAATATAAGTAAAATGAAATCGTTGACATTTTGAATCTTTTCTTCATCTATCATGATGCTGCCCATTGGACCAGTGGTGGGAGTTTTTCTTTTCTTGATGTTGAGATGTAATCCATACTGGAAGCTGTAATCTTTGTTATTCTTCAGTAAGTTTTTTACATATTCTTCACTTTCTGCCTGCAACATTGGTCATCTGCATAACATAGATCGTAGATGAGTCTTCCTCCAATTTTGATGCCACATTCTTCTTCATATAGTCAAGCTTCTCTAATTATTTGCTCAGCATACAAATTGAATTGGTATGAAGAAAGAATATGACCTCGACATACACCTTTCCTGATTTTAAACCATACAGGCTTCCTATTTTCTGTTTGGATAACTGCTTCTTTGTCTATGTTTAGGTTTTGCATGAATACAATTAAGTATTCTGGAATTCCAATTTTTTCAGTATTATCAATCATTTATTAGGATCCACACAACATATCTTAACACAGTCAGTAACACACAAGGTATCTTTCTGGTATTCTCTGCTTTCAACCAAGGTCCTGATGACATCAGAAATAGCTCTTGTGCCATAGCCTCTTCTGAATTCAGCTTGAATTTCTGGCAGTTATCTCTCAATGTACTCTTCTGGACATTTGGAAATAATCTTTGGTAAGATTTTACCTCCATGTGATATTAATTATATAGTTTGATAATTTATGTACTCTAGTGAATCACCTTTTTTTTTCAAATGGGAACAAACACAGTCCATTGGTTAACCAGGCAGCTATCTTGAAATTTTTTGGCATAGATTAGTAAGCATGTCTACAGCTGCATCTATTTGCTGAAACACCTAAACTGATATTCCATCCATTCTTGGGGCTTTATTTCTTGCCAATGCCTTCAATGACTTTGAATGTCTTCCTCATTACCATTAGTTCTTGATCAAATGCTATATTCTGGAATGGTTCAATGTTGACCAAGTCTTTTGGTACAGTGGCTCTTGTATTTCTTCTGTCTACTTTGATGCTTCCTGTATCATTCAATATTGTGCTCATAGAATCCTTCAGGACTGCAACTTGTGGCTTGATTCTTTTATTTATTTTTTCTTCTTCAGTTCTTTCAACTTGAGAAATTCCAAGCATGTTCTTCCCTTTTGGTTTTCTAACTCCCAAGTCTTTGGACATTTCATTATAATACTTTGCTTTATCTCCTAGAGCTGCCCTTTGAAGTCTCTTACTTAGCTGTCTTATTTCTTCACTTTGTGTACAATATGTGGACCCTCAAAAAGACTGCATCTGTTGAGCTTTTTAATCTTTTTACTCCTGTCATACTCAGTTATTTTTATTGTATTTAAAACATTGTATGCAGACTGCAGTGGTGATTTGAGCTTGAGGCTGATGCCTTGCTCAAGAGACAGACAGTTACAAATTCATTTACTACGAATTTGCTTTCTTTTAGGCAGTTACAAAAAGAAGCAGAAATGCCTAAATTCAATATGAACTGAGTTTCTACAAAATTAAGGATTGATGTTTGTGAAGACTGATCTGCTTCCAGTTCACCCATATTCCCCATACACTCTAGGAATAGGGTAGACTTAAAACACAAGCCCAGCCACAGTGCTCTTTGGAGGCAAAGATGAAAAAGCTTTGTCTCACATACTTAGGAGGGGCTATTCCTGGGAGTGGGACATGATGTTGCAAAGGGTCGGCGAAGGAGAGGAAAACCCTCAACCAGGTGGATTGACACAGTGACTGCCACAATGAGCTCTAGTGTGTCAGGAAGTGTGAGGGTGGCACAGGATAGGACAGGGTTCAGATCTGTGTTCATAGGGTTGCTATGGGTTGTACTTGACTCAACGGCACCTACCAACAAAGGCAACATGTTCATTGAAGTATTATTAACAACAACAGTGAGATGGAAATAACCCATGTGTCCATCAGTAAATGAATGGATTTTTAAAAAAAGTTGGTACATTCACACAGTGGAGTTGTATGCAACACTAAAAGTCAATAAAGAATTCCTGAAACACTGAATAGCATGAATGCTAAGAAAGTGTTGAAAGCCAAATGAAAAAGGATAAATACTGTGTAAAACCACTGTTATAAAAAACTAGGAAAAGTTTGCTCAGCTAGAATAATTCTTGAGTGATTACCAGGAATGGTAAAGGAGGAAGAAGAAAATGAAAATTAGTTTCTAGAGAAAAGATATATATTAAGATGAGTGAAGGAAAAGACAGTATCCTAAAAGGAGATGATCATCACCCTATCACTAAAGAAAGAAAAGAAACAGAGAGATACAGTAAGATTCATGGAAGTCAGAATCACGGAGAGGAAGTAGGGAAAGAGAGATTACATGTGAATACTAAAATTGGGGTCATAGAGTAAAATATCTATGAATGATTGAGTAAAAACATTAATTTTCTTTGTAAATTTTTACTCCAATCACAGTAAAATAAATGGAAAGAAGCAAGTATATTTAACAATATATTTACAAATTCTGGCATTCAATAAAAAAAAAATAGCTGGACACATGAAGAAAAGGAAAAATAACCTATAATCAAGACAGAATTAATAGAATCAAATACAGAAATTAGAGAGATGATGGAATTAGCAGATCAGAAAGTTGAATGGGAAAAACAAAACCAACCAATTGCTTTATAAAGTTTCACTCAAATGATACAGAGGCACGGTACCAAAAAGAATTGGAAGACACAGAAGAATTTCATGAAATAACATATGATCAAGAGCCTA